TACACACACACACCTACACACCTACACATACACACCTACACACACACACCTACACACACACACCTACACACACCTACACACCTACACACACACACCTACACACCTACACACACACACCTACACACCTACACACACACACCTACACACACACCTACACACACACCTACACACACACACCTAAACACACACACCTACACAACCTACACACACACACCAACACACACACACCTACACATGCAAACACACTGCCTGGAGGGTGAGACAAACACACCTATACACCTACACACACACACACACCTACACACACCTATACACACCTACACACACACACACCTACATACACACACCTACACATGCAAACACACACACCTACACACACACACCTACACACCTACACACACACACCAACACACACACACCTACACATGCAAACACACACACACCTACACACACACAATTCTACTCTAGAGTCTTAATTACATATTTATTTCCACCCACTCTCTCTCTCTCTCTCTCTCTCTCTCCCTCTCTCCCTCTCTCTCTCTCTCCCTCTCTCCCTCTCTCCGTAGAGTTTAAGAAGAGTTATGAGAATGACAGTCAGAGCAGTGACAACGTCAACTTCCTGCGTGTGGGCTGGTCCAATAAGCAGCTGACCACGCTGAAGCCCCTCCTCTCTGAGATAGAATACCTCCAGGACCAACACATGCTGCTCACTGTCAAATCCCTGGATGGATACGAGTCCTATGGTACCACTGGCTGTGTGTGTGTGTGTGTGCGTGCGTGCGTGCGTGTGTGCGTGTGTGTGTGTGTGTTCTGTCTCCAAGCTTTTGTGTGTTACAGGGTTTCCGTTAGGAAAATGTGGCGCCAAATATTTAACCGGCAGCATTTTAATTTACCGGATATTTCAGAAATGTACCGGACCCATATGCATTGGGTGCGTAAGTTGATTAGGCCGTCCACCCACAGTGCTCAGAATGACAGTAATCACATTTAGATTATGTTAATTCATCTTAACAGAACATGCAATTCCAGGATGCAACGGCGTGCGTCCTTCTTACCAAATTCCGATGCGCACTTTGAAGATGTTAGAAGAACTGTCCACATTTAGTTTTCCTCAGCCAAAAAGACGAGTAACGAACAGCAAAGTCACTAGCCCATGTCAATCTACTATCCTCCATAGTATAAAAGTTGACCTATTCTATTGGTCAGCTTGTCGTTCTGTGCGAGAAAGAAGTAGCCTGTTCCAAACTGACTCTGGGACAGTTGTGGGACGATAGATCCCAAATCCATCCAACCAGTAGGTCTCGGCTACATCTCAAAAAAACGTTAAAAAGCAATGAGTCAGATGCAAAAGATCAGCACGTTTAGCTTGATAAATGATTTCTTCACACTAATAAGCGCAGCAATGCTCACAAGGCAGTAGGCTACAGATGTCAGATCTTAACTTGATCATGCTTTTGTTGCAGAGAATTTTCCTGATGCATCAGGAAATTCAAATGAGCCTTGTGATTGGCTAAAAATGAGCAGTTCTCTTTCTCTCCATGCGGGGCCAGTCGAGTCATTGGGATCAGGACTAGAACAGTACTAGTTCCTCCAGACAGTACAGCCCACAGAGAGTAACTAGAACAGTACTAGTTCCTCCAGACAGTACAGCCCACAGAGAGTAACTAGAACAGTACTAGTTCCTCCAGACAGTACAGCCCACAGAGAGTAACTAGAACAGTACTAGTTCCTCCAGACAGTACAGCCCACAGAGAGTAACTAGAACAGTACTAGATCCTCCAGACAGTACAGCCCACAGAGAGTAACTAGAACAGTACTAGATCCTCCAGACAGTACAGCCCACAGAGAGTAACTAGAACAGTACTAGATCCTCCAGACAGTACAGCCCACAGAGAGTAACTAGAACAGTACTAGATCCTCCAGACAGTACAGCCCACAGAGAGTAACTAGAACAGTACTAGTTCCTCCAGACATTACAGCCCACAGAGAGTAACTAGAACAGTACTAGATCCTCCAGACAGTACAGCCCACAGAGAGTAACTAGAACAGTACTAGTTCCTCCAGACAGTACAGCCCACAGAGAGTAACTAGAACAGTACTAGTTCCTCCAGACAGTACAGCCCACAGAGAGTAACTAGAACAGTACTAGATCCTCCAGACAGTACAGCCCACAGAGAGTAACTAGAACAGTACTAGATCCTCCAGACAGTACAGCCCACAGAGAGTAACTAGAAACAGTATTAGATCCTCCAGACAGTACAGCCCACAGAGAGTAACTAGAACAGTACTAGATCCTCCAGACAGTACAGCCCACAGAGAGTAACTAGAACAGTACTAGTTCCTCCAGACAGTACAGCCCACAGAGAGTAACTAGAACAGTACTAGATCCTCCAGACAGTACAGCCCACAGAGAGTAACTAGAACAGTACTAGTTCCTCCAGACAGTACAGCCCACAGAGAGTAACTAGAACGGTACTAGATCCTCCAGACAGTACAGCCCACAGAGAGTAACTAGAACAGTACTAGATCCTCCAGACAGTACAGCCCACAGAGAGTAACTAGAACAGTACTAGTTCCTCCAGACAGTACAGCCCACAGAGAGTAACTAGAACAGTACTAGATCCTCCAGACAGTACAGCCCACAGAGAGTAACTAGAACAGTACTAGATCCTCCAGACAGTACAGCCCACAGAGAGTAACTAGAACAGTACTAGTTCCTCCAGACATTACAGCCCACAGAGAGTAACTAGAACAGTACTAGTTCCTCCAGACAGTACAGCCCACAGAGAGTAACTAGAACAGTACTAGTTCCTCCAGACAGTACAGCCCACAGAGAGTAACTAGAACAGTACTAGATCCTCCAGACATTACAGCCCACAGAGAGTAACTAGAACAGTACTATATCCTCCAGACAGTACAGCCCACAGAGAGTAACTAGAACAGTACTAGATCCTCCAGACATTACAGCCCACAGAGAGTAACTAGAACAGTACTAGTTCCTCCAGACATTACAGCCCACAGAGAGTAACTAGAACAGTACTAGTTCCTCCAGACGGTACAGCCCACAGAGAGTAACTAGAACAGTATTAGATCCTCCAGACAGTACAGCCCACAGAGAGTAACTAGAACAGTACTAGATCCTCCAGACAGTACAGCCCACAGAGAGTAACTAGAACAGTACTAGTTCCTCCAGACGGTATGGCCCACAAAGAGTAACTAGAACAGTACTAGATCCTCCAGACAGTACAGCCCACAGAGAGTAACTAGAACAGTACTAGTTCCTCCAGACATTACAGCCCACAGAGAGTAACTAGAACAGTACTAGTTCCTCCAGACATTACAGCCCACAGAGAGTAACTAGAACAGTACTAGTTCCTCCAGACATTACAGCCCACAGAGAGTAACTAGAACAGTACTAGTTCCTCCAGACATTACAGCCCACAGAGAGTAACTAGAACAGTACTAGTTCATCCAGACATTACAGCCCACAGAGAGTAACTAGAACAGTACTAGTTCCTCCAGACATTACAGCCCACAGAGAGTAACTAGAACAGTACTAGTTCCTCCAGACATTACAGCCCACAGAGAGTAACTAGAACAGTACTAGTTCCTCCAGACATTACAGCCCACAGAGAGTAACTAGAACAGTACTAGATCCTCCAGACATTACAGCCCACAGAGAGTAACTAGAACAGTACTAGTTCCTCCAGACATTACAGCCCACAGAGAGTAACTAGAACAGTACTAGCACAGATAGAACAATGAGACAGATATTTCACCGGATATATAAATGGAAAGCATCTGGTTGGCGTTTCCAGTGGCCAGCAGTGGGAGAAGATGGAACGAGATGGATTTTGGCCGACATTCTGATAATTTACTCATCGATTAAACATTTGATCTCAATACAGTTTTCTGTTCCCAAAACTACAATTTCTTACAAACAGAGTGGACTAAGTTTTGTAGACTTTACCCGTTGCCAAAGTTTCCATAAAGTGCGTTGTTTAGAAGGAGTGCAAAGGCCATTTAGAGTTATTGCACACACGCACTTCACATAGTAGGCGATCCCCAACTGAAATATGCAAATTCATGCTAGAATGCACCAAGAGGATCTCGCTCGTGCTTGGCTCCGCCACCTCCTTGCTTGTTCTGCCCACTATGGCTCATTTGTTCCCATTTGAAGCGACAGGCTGTGGTCTATCGTGGTTTAGTTATATAAATCTGTGGTACTAGTTCCTCCAAAAATGGTCAGTAGTGGGCCGGATTTGAACCCATGTCTACTCTGGCATATGTGTGCCATATTCAGCAGCTGTACTTGCTGGGACCACACATGCACTGAGATAAACATTCATTGATTTTGCCTAATCCTTGCCTTAAACATATACCAAAACTGTAACACTTTATTTGACACCTAGCATCATAACACGTTATGACACGGTCATAACCATGTCATAATATGTCATAACAGCTGACATAACTTGGTCATAACACTGTCATGACCCACATATTTACACCTGTTGTGACATATATTGTGTTATTTTATGGCTGGTTATGACACCTACATAAGTGTCAACCCACATGTATTCAAATGTATTTTTTCGCTGCCAAGAAGTTTCTTAAATCCTTTGTTGTTTTTAATGAATTCTTTATAGTCATGTTTTTTTCATCATATTTTAAATAACTTATGACCAGAACATTATGACCATCCTGTGTCACTTTGCTTGGACTAAGAAAATACACTTTATAACACTGTCAATAAGCATTATAACCATCAGAATCATGTAAGCCAGAAAGGCCTATTGCTTACATGCCTTTATGTCATTTAACATAATAATAATAATATGCCATTTAGCAGACGCTTTTATCCAAAGCGACTTACAGTCATGCTTGCATACATTTTTGTGTATGGGTGGGATCGAACCCACTACCTTGGCGTTACAAGAACCGTGCTCTACCAGCTGAGCTACAGAGGACCACATAAAAATACTGTTGGGCAAGTAGGCTATGGTGTAATGGAATGTTTTCCCTTGTGTGGGTAGGTTTTGTGGGTTTTGACACACTTATGTAGGTGTCATAACCAGCCATAAAATAACGCGATATATGTCACAACAGGTCTATATGTTTCATGACAGTGTTATGACCATATTATGACAGGTTAGGACACGGTATGTCAGCTGTTATGACATATTATGACATGGTTATGACCGTGCCATAAAGTGTTATGACACTAGGTGTCAACTAAAGTGTTACCAATAAAACAATTGATCTAAAAGAAAAACTGATTTTTTCTTTAATTATTGTGTAATCCTCCTGTTGCAGGATTATTTTCCTCCTGCGACGAAATGTGGCATTAAGACTGACATCTGTAATGTGAATGTTCGTTCCATAATGTAATTAGCGGAAAACACCGTTGTCAAAAGCGCACCGCACATGCGAGCGGTTTCAGGCGACAGAGATTAAATTATCCGTTAGAAATTTAGAAAAATTGGATATCTAAAGATGCAACAACTAGCATGGGTTGTGAATATGACCAGGATTGTGCCTTTGGCTACTGGACAATGAAAGGAAGTTGATTTGAAAACCAATAGAACATGAGATAAATAGGCTACTTGTTTCAATGGCATATGAAAGTCTTTATAAAATAATTGGCATATTTTTTTGGCTCGATACTTTGAAGCAAGGTAAGACATGCCTCATAATATGAAGTAAAACGTTAAGGTTTCAAACAATTAAGTATGTTTTTAAAATGCATATACTGCCTCCAGCTCACATTGCAAAGTGGTGTGTGACGCGCTGAAGCCTGCCTACCATTGGCTAAGCACTTGAATGGCAAATAAGAAGCGCGCTTCAATTACTAGTTGAACAAAAGAAAATTGACTCTTTTTCATCATGGCCATCACAGCTGTTTTTAACACGTAATTGAAGCGTTTCAGAATTGTTGCCAATGATTTGGGTTTATAAAAGCATGTGTCACTCCAGCAACAACAGGAGCTGTAGAATCATAAAGACTAATGAAAATACACACGCCCAATTTAATTCCACAAAATTATGCAAAATAACCTATAAACCATAAGCACCGGTGAAATGTATTTCCATCCACAGGTATTTCCATCAATGAATAGGCTAAAAAAAGTATTATTTTGCAAAATGATTTTTTTCTTCTCCCTGACAATTGGCCAGTGACAATTTTATTTATCAGCTTAAAAATATATATATATCTGCCAAAAGCCAGCTATTTCCAGCTAAGGAAACCCTGGTGTGTTATACTGATGGTGTGAATGTGTCTTCCCTCAGGAGAGTGTGTGTTGGCTCTGAAGTCCATGATAGGCAGTACAGCACAGCAGTTCCATACCTACCTGTCCCACAGAGGGGAGGAGACGGGCAACATCAGAGGGTCCATGAGGGTCCGCGTGCCTGCAGAGAGGATGGGCACCAGGGAGAGGCTCTATGGTAACACGCTGTGTGTGTGTGTGTGTGTGTGTGTGTGTGTGTGTGTGTGTGTGTGTGTGTGTTCAGGAATCTGTGGAAAAGGACAAGGAAAGTGATTGGTTGATTGATTGATTGATATGTGTGTGCTGTAGAGTGGATCAGTGTGGATAAAGATGAGATGGGAGGACCCAAAGGCAGATCCACCCTGCCCCCCCGATCAGGACACGACTACGTCAAGTGAGTAACCCCCCCCCCCCCTCCCTCCTATTCCTAACCACGCCCCCCCCCCCCCCCCCCCCCCCATTCCTAACCACGCCGGGGAGTTAAACCATAAACTTCTTAAGTGTGTTCTTAGCATGTTCTTAGCGTGTTCCTCCGTGTCTCGCAGGCCGTCTTTGACACACAAACACGTGGGGGCGGAGCTTGGGAAGGTGAGCGAGGAGGGAGAGAGGAGCACCAAGGAGGAGGGGACTGCAACCAGGTAACATACATAAACACACACATACACACACTCACACTCTTCACACAAACACACACACACCTACCGGTCCTGCTGTGTGTGTTCCAGGACTAAGCAGGACTCTGCAGAGGGAGACCCCTCCACCTGTAAGAACAACAGCTACAATAACCCCGCCTACTACATCCTGGAGGGCGTTCCTAACCAATCAGCTGCCGCTCTGTCCCCGGAGCACCTCCCCTCCCCCTGCTCCCCCCCAGCCGGTAAGGCACACCCGTCTGGAGGGGGCAGGGGGAAGCCCTCCTCAGGGTCCTCCCACCCCTGCAGGCACATGGCTGGACACCCTGTCAGGCCCATCAGTGAGGAGGGGTCCTCAGAGGATGATGGGATTGCAGTGGTGGGGGTGGTGTCAGGGGGAGGGGCAGCCCAGGGGGGAGGAGCGGGAGGCACACTGAACCGTCCTCCTCCTGACTTCCCTCCTCCCCCCCTTCCTAAAGGAGCACAGGAGATGGCCGACATCCCCTTCTCCAAACCCCGCTCCCTGCACCCCGACTTGGCCGAGGTGAAGATCCCCGCAGCCAATCCCAGTCCTGCCTTTGTCCTGGGGGAGGGCTTTAGGAGGGGAGGGGCTGGGGGGCTGGATGACCAATCATGTTCGGTGCTGCAGATGGCGAAGACACTGAGTGAGAGCGAGTACCCCCCCTCCCCCCCGTGCCCCCTCTGCACCCCCCCACCACAGAGGCCAGGGGTTGGGGTTAGGGGACGCCTGTCGCACCTTCCCTCCCCGAGCCCCCATCACAGAGAGCATCGCTGAAGATCTACCAGAGGAAGTGAGATATTTGTGTGTGTGTGGAAGTACTATGAATAAAAGACAGAGAAGTGCTCATGTTGGGAATAGGTTATTTTGATATATTAATGAAAAGCTTCTCCAGTGTTAAAATATGTGTGTGTGTGTGTGTGTGTGTGTGTGTGTGTGTAGGCGCTGTGGGGAAGCAGTAGCTCGTCTCTCTCCGTGGGGGAGTCGTCTGTGGGAGAGTGGCTACAGAGACTGGGGCTGGAGCGGTATGAGGAAGGTCTGTTACACAACGGCTGGGACGACCTCGAGTTCCTCAGGTACACAGAGACACAGGGTGTTTCTCAACATGCATACTACCGTGTTCCCACCTCTCATGCTCCGAGTGCATTCTCCAAGGACGTTCTTGTGAGCACGAGAGTGGGGAGAACGCATAAAACATTACATTTGAGAATCTCCCCGTACTGTATTACCTCACGCTTCACCTCCCCATTCACCGATCCGTCTTCCAGCCAGGACAACGGCAGCAATAGACGAAACAAGATATATGCAAAGCAATCGTTTTACTTCATAATTATCAGCTAGATATATGTGAATCCTAGTAATCTAGCTAGCTAGTTAAACAGGCAAAAATGACCTAAAACTAATGTTATGCAAGGTACTTTAGATGTCAATTCTTCGTGGGTAGCTACCTAGCAATTATTCGTAGCTAGCTAGCTAGCCAGTTAGCCCTATTGACTTACTATGGAATTACCCATTCACTGATCCTTCCTTCTTCTAGCCAAGACAATGGCAATAGAGACGAAACAATATATACACTAACAATTCTTTGTGACTATCTGGCTCGCTAACAGTAGTAGCTAGCCAGTTAGCTCTATTGACTTACTATGGGCATACGACCTAAATACAGTGGGTATTGTAGGCAGGTAACCATGCCAAAATTAACACCGCATGTATTTATTAACGTATCAAGATCAAATATTGTAGTCAGAGTGTATTTTCTCTCGCGTCAGCTCAAATAATGGCCGCCGTTGATTTCAAGAAAATAATTTCTTACGTGGTTTGCATACTATCCGTGCATCGATGCATGCTTCAAAATATTTACAAACGGAGATCGTATTTGAGAAGTGCCCTCCGTGCTCCGTTTCGCAAACTTTGATTTGGACTCATACCCTGACCCTCAGTGCTCCAATTTGCGTGCTCGGAGTACGGTAGTATACATTTTGAGAAACACCCACAGACTCACACACACACACACACACACACACACACACACACACACACACACACACACAGATATTATGTCAATAATAAAAAAACATGAAACATGTCACTTCATGAATCTCATCCAATCATGTTCCTCCTTCTCAGTGACATCACTGAGGAGGACCTAGAGGAGGCGGGTGTTCTAGACCCCGCCCACAAGAGGATTCTGCTGGAGAGCCTGAGACAGCAGAAGCAGCAGAAGTGAGCTGAACCAGTCCATACTGGGCCATCCTGGGCCAAACCCAGCTGAACTGAGCTGAGACGTGCTAATCCATGCCAGACTGTGCCTTCTGAGAGAAATTGCACTCCCTCCGTTATACTTTATTTTGACAAACAGATCTGTCAAATGTCCTTTTTTAGATGTATTGTGCTGTGTGTAAGTGTCTTTATGTTATTGTAACCGTGGCTGTTGTGTTAGCCAGCCTTATTTAAACAGTAGAAACATGTCTGTCCTTTGTTAAGAATCAAAACATGGACCTCTACCCTGCCACCCCCCCTAACAGACCCCCTCCCTCCCCCCCCCCCCCCCCCCACCCCTTCCCTTCAGGCTGCGACTTCTTCTTGGGTGACATCACTAGTCTTGCCTCAGCCAGGAAAACACCTTGCTAGAACTAAGTATATTATAGTTTTTATTCCGCTCATGAATAGGATTATTAATATGATTATCTGTTCAGTGTTCTTTAGTGTGCATGTTTTATGTTTGAGAGCTAAAGGGAATGGAGCGAACAACACCGCATCAGCACTGAGACCTTCCTCTATCTCAACACATTCTGTTGTTGCTTTGTTGAAGGCCCCTTTCCTTCAGTAGCACAAACTGCAGTACCCATCATGCAGTTGTCCATGTACTAATTTGTGTTTAATTGATGCTGAGCCAGCCTTAACACAGTGGGTCCCCAGGATCCTTACTGAGAAACACTGCCACACATCACACGCTGCTGGTTGTTCATTTCACCACATGATGGTGCTGTTGTCCTGTCAACCTCAGTAGGAGCGCAGGTAAAAAACTGAAGACACACCAAGTGATAAAAAGGACTGTTTTTAACATTATACATTAACGTTCATGATTATGTTTTATATAAATGTATATGTTGACGTTATTTGACTGTTGTAAAAAAGACTGTGTTGCACATTGAGTAGAAACAGGAGAAATGTGAGTGAATTTAGTGTTTTTCTGATGTTGTCACCAATTGTTTAGCTCAATAGCATAAAGTAGCGCCTACCATTCCTTCTCATATAGCCCCCTCTCCCATTCAATCTACTATACCCCCCTCTCCCATTCCTTCTCATATAGCCCCCTCTCCCATTCAATCTACTATACCCCCCTCTCCCATTCCTTCTCATATAGCCCCCTCTCCCATTCAATCTACTATACCCCCCTCTCCCATTCCTTCTCATATAGCCCCCCTCTCCCCATTCAATCTACTACACCCCCCCTCTCCCATTCCTTCTCATATAGCCCCCTCTCCCATTCAATCTACTATACCCCCTCTCCCATTCCTTCTCATATAGCCCCCTCTCCCCATTCAATCTACTATACCCCCCTCTCCCATTCCTTCTCATATAGCCCCCTCTCCCATTCAATCTACTATACCCCCCTCTCCCATTCCTTCTCCTATACCCCTCTCCCATTCAATCTCCTATACCCCCTCTCCCATTCCTTCTCATATAGCCCCCTCTCCCATTCAATCTCCTATATCTCCCATTCCCTAGGGCATTATCCTACAGTGCCTTCTCCCTTGTCTCTTCTCCTATACCCCACAGTGCCTTCTCCTATACCCCCCTCCAAGTTTCCAGTGACTTTGATGTCAAGTTAGATTATTTCTTTATGGGGGTGGAGAGGGTGTTGATTTGTTCACTCCTCCCTAGTCAAGCTCTACCCTATTGTAAAGATGGTCTGTGTTTCCAGCTCCTTACTGGTCTTTCTCTGGTTGTAACAGTGTACCCATTGATCTCTTGTTATCGTTCTGTTTTCTCCGAAAATAAAAAGCTAATATTTAACCCGCCAACGCTGTTTGTTTCTCTTGGCACTATAACTGACTACATTTGAAGGTTTTATGTGTTTTAATGGAAAAACCTAGGAGAGGACAAGGAAGAACGATGGGAGTAAAATAGAAAGGAAGGAGAAAGTGCCTTAAATACAACATCATACCGCACGCTATTAAAAAAAGAACTGACGGAAGTTCTCAGTGGCTGTGACATCTTGTTCTGTTGTCTCCTCCTCCAGCTTACTTTGAGAGGGCTTAGTGAAGGCTGATTTCACCATCACTGGCTTCAGGAGCTTCAGTTTTGACATGGGGGATCAGTATATTTGTACACTTTCTTTCCCTCATTGGTGCTGAGACTAGGAGAAGACTGGCTGCTGTGACTCTCTTTTCTGTGTGTGTGAGTGAGACCAAGAGAGAGGTTATTTGAGGAGAAGAAGAAGCAATGTCAGTGCAGGGAAGAGTGATAATATGATCCCTTAGCATCCCCCTCAATGCTCACAGCCAGGGACACACACAAAACCACACCTTGTTAGTTTGAGCAATGCTTTTATAGGGTAGATTTATGACGGAATATTACAGTAGTGCTATAACCCTTCATACAGTTGCTATAAGCCTTCCCTTTGCCCTGATGTAGACAGGATGGGCCGATGAGCTGAGACATGCTCTGTAATGAACAACTCCTCAAAGCAATGTGGAAAAAACACTCTAGACTATAACTAATATTTATATTACTATTTACAAATCATTTTCAATTACAACATTTTGATATCTGTCCATTTAAAAAGACGTTCTGCTTTTGGTCACAAAAACATGTTTATCGTTATTCCATTAGTTAAATAACTGCTCTCCAGTAAAACTGTCTTGACTACCGTCTCTATAGTAACATGGGGACGCAGGGGGAGTTGTGTCACAGACCTTTAGCGTGACGTGTGTTCTATGCAATAATAACGGTTGACCACTGGTCTACTAGTGTTCAAGCTGTGGTCAGAGAAAATCCAACAATGCTGACCTGAATCCCAAAACAGAACTCTTAAACATCTTGCCCAAGTCAGTGGGGTGGGGTGGGGTGGGGTGGGGGGGGGGGGTCTAGTGAGACAGTAGGAGTTGTGTCGAGGTTCACTGGCAGGGGTCTAGTGAGGATGTGAGAGGGGATCTGGTCTGGCATTCAGGGAGATAATTGGATTTGAGGGTCCCCTCTCCAGTACCGAGGGATTTGGGGGATATAAAGAAAGTTGTGCTTGTTGATAACAGTTTGGGTTTTGTCCCTCTGATTCTCCCCAGGGAGACTGACTGTTTACCTTCACCCTGCCTGGTTAACATACTAATCAGGAGGTACAGGGGCTAGGAGCTAGCGATACTAATCAGGAGGTACAGGGGCTAGGAGCTAGCGATACTAATCAGGAGGTACAGGGGCTAGGAGCTAGCGATACTAATCAGGAGGTACAGGGGCTAGGAGCTAGCGATACTAATCAAGGAGGTACAGGGGCTAGGAGCTAGCGATACTAATCAGGAGGTACAGGGGCTAGGAGCTAGCGATACTAATCAGGAGGTACAGGGGCTAGGAGCTAGCGATACTAATCATGGAGGTACAGGGGCTAGGAGCTAGCGATACTAATCAGGAGGTACAGGGGCTAGGAGCTAGCGATACTAATCAGGAGGTACAGGGGCTAGGAGCTAGCGATACTAATCAGGAGGTACAGGGGCTAGGAGCTAGCGATACTAATCAGGAGGTACAGGGGCTAGGAGCTAGCGATACTAATCAGGATGGTACAGGGGCTAGGAGCTAGCGATACTAATCAGGAGGTACAGGGGCTAGGAGCTAGCGATACTAATCAGGAGGTACAGGGGCTAGGAGCTAGCGATACTAATCAGGAGGTACAGGGGCTAGGAGCTAGCGATACTAATCAGGAGGTACAGGGGCTAGGAGCTAGCGATACTAATCAGGAGGTACAGGGGCTAGGAGCTAGCGATACTAATCAGGAGGTACAGGGGCTAGGAGCTAATGTTACTAAGTGCACCACAATGTCTGCTAAGGCCTTTCGGACTGTGTATACTGTGTGTGTGTTGGGGGGGGGGGGGGGGGGGAGTGTGTAGCTTTGTTGGAGTGAGAACATACAGAACAACTGACACACACACACCCCCGTATGAGATGCATGTTACACACACTTCAACACAAATACTCACACGCACACATTCACAAACTACAACTGCCACTTAGAGAGTCCGGGGGGTAATAAATTAAAGGGGGCAGTAGATAGAGGGGGAAGGAGAGTATAGATATACAGTAGTTATACTAGAGATCTCTGCTCCGTGTCTCTAGTACAGGTTAGTCTTGAGAGCATTGGGTTTCCGGTGGAAGGAGGAGAGAACGCCAGCGAAAGGCCCTGTCATACTGTCTGCAGGCTGCCACGCCTTCAGCAGCTCTGGAGCCTGGGCTGCGGGTTGGGCCATTCCTGGGTTAGCGGGGCCTAGGCTGGGCCAGCCAGGGGGTTTGAGCCCCTGCAGAACAGGGGAGCTGGAGGTGTTAGCGTAGCCGGCGTTAGCAGGGGCGGGGCTGGGGCTGAGGCTGAGGCTGGCAGGGCTACCCATGTTCCCATTGGCTGAGCCAGGCAGCGAGGCGGTGCTGTCAGGGGTGGGACTGCAGGTGGACTCTTTTGATTCGTCATCATCTGAGGAAGATCTCGGCTCGCCCTTTTTCCCCCCGGTACTGCCGTTATTCCCTCCTGAGCCCCCGGTCCCATTACCGGATTTAGAGTTGGCTGCACGCTCCACCTTACGGAATTTAGCCCGCCGGTTCTGGAACCACACCTGATACAGACAGACAATATAGTTTAGTCTCATTCTAACGTCTAAACATACAACCAGAGGAAAAAGGCAACAAAATAAATACATATAGAAATACTCATAATAATGCATACTATCTCTAAAATAAACTAATGAAGGATGTATAGATTACAATTTGGTAGATTGCAATAATTTTTACAATAACTGACTGCATCTCAAAAAAAAATACATGATGGTGTAGGCCCATACATGCATGAAAATTTTTTATCTATTGTGAATTCGTGTTTTTCATCAGACCACTGGACTCACCTGCACCCGCGCCTCAGTAAGGTCGATCTTGAGCGCAAGCTCCTCGCGCGTGTAGATGTCGGGGTAGTGGGTCTCCGCGAACACGCGCTCCAGCTCCTTCAGCTGTGAGCTCGTGAAGGTGGTCCTTATGCGCCGCTGTTTCCGCTTCTCGTTTAAACCGGAAGGGTCCGAGAAGAACTTATATGGAACTGCGGAGTCAACCAATCACAATAAAACCAATTAGTGATGCTCTGTTTTATTGTAGACGTTTTTCTATAGGCTGTGTTATGGAGTTGTTTTTGTCTGACCCCGTAGGCTACAGGCTATAACTTGACGCAGATTTTTTTATTTTTTTCCAGGACATAATACTCGTTTTAATTTACTTGATCAATCCAACTAACGGTATATAGCCTACCAGTAGGCCTAGGTGAAATATCGTGGTTCCTATATTTATATAATTTATTATTCTGAGTAATTTTTTATTGATGTTTCTCTTTTGCTTTAGTCTATGGCAATGACAGGAAAGTAGTCCATTATCGTACAAAATATATGACTATATTTATGCAATTAGCTCGTTGTAATTATACCATGAACTAACCTAAATAATTTGTCATTTGATCAAATTTGCCTAAGCTAAACATGGAATAACAGAATTTGATAGGCTATCAACAAGGGCATTGAATAAAATGTTGTGATAGACTAACCACCTGCCAGTTTCATTCAAACTATTTTTTTATTAAACGTGTCATACAGCCTTATAATCAGATACAGATATTTTGTAATAGGCGAAATCACCGTTTTTTCCCAGAAAGAGAGAGGGCGTGTATAATGCACGGGACGGTCTGTCAGTGTGCCTTCGTTAGAACTGCAATAAAAGCATATTTTTTAAAAACATTAGCTTATACAAAAAGTTAGAGGGAATTCACATGATCATATGTAAAAATGTATGCACACATGACTGTAAGTCGCTTTGGATAAAAGCGTCTGCTAAATGGCATATTATTATTATTATTATTATTATTATTATTATTATTATCTGGATATAAGCAGTGAAATAATCACGTTTTAGGCGCAGCAGCAAGTGTACGCTTTTCTAATGAGGTGGCATAGCCTGCGCTATTCAACCATTTGTTGAAAAAAAAGTTTGTGTTAGTTGTAGGCCTATTGGTAGTTGTAAAACTTGTTGATGCTGTTAATGTACGTTTTTGTATTATTAGGATATTATTATTATTTCATTGCTATTATAAGACAGTTGTTGCCATATTATTCTTGTTACTAAGTGGGCTATTGTTTGTTGTTTTTTTTTTTTTTTTTGTACACTTGAAAACGAGGTTGTGCATCTCAATAGATTTCATCCTGCAAAATGTTAAACAAATAAATAATCTCATTTGCATATTTCACCATAATGACATGAATCATAAAAACGGAAATGTATGGCAAGGTAGCAAAAAACAAACATTTGAATTGCGCAGTCGAATCGTGACCACAAAACGAATTATGATGGTTAAAGTAAAAGGTAGATTTTAGGATAGACCAATTTCTATTAAATTGACTAAACAAATTACAAATTTGATTAGTTGATAATACAGATATATTTGCCATCTAACGAATTTTACACTGATTGAATTATCCCCATGACAACGAACATAAAACGAGAGGTTAGATTTGAGCGACCCTCAAATTAAGAGGTATGATAATATTTATAATTTCGATTGATTGGGTTTTCATTAATCAAATTAAATGTCTTACCTTCTTCGATTAGCCTAGTTTGGTATAATCAAATAACAAAAATGACATTTTACCGCACGTATTTCAAATTAAACCAGACGCTTTAACTATAGCCAACATCCCAAGACATTTGCAGCTGGAGATTAAACACTGCCGTGAGCAACTCCTGCGTGCCAAATTTCCCGCTCATGCCCCACTATACCCTCTCCCATGCCATCTGCGCGCTCTTACCTGTGGAGTAGGGTGTTGTCTGGTGCTCGCGAAGGGACCCCAGTGTGCAGCTCGCGGTGCTGAGGGGCGCGCAGCCCGGGTTGGCACCGAACCCAGTCCGGATCGGGTTGTACTGGAACGAGCTGGCCTGGCTGCACGAGCTGAAGTCCGCGTAGGCCGATGCCTCCATGGCCGCCATGCACGAGTCATAGGAGTTCAGGTAGGAGTAATCCATTTTATACATGGAGGCGCGAGGACGACAACTCTGGGGCGAGCGCTGGATGAAATGTAGGCCTACTTCTCAGGATTCGAGAGGAATTAAAACGGTTAAAGCTGCAAAAACACCACAGAATGAGTCCCCGAGTTCAGTCCCTCTCTCAATTCGGTTTTCTTGTTTTCAGTCAAAGCAGGGTGTTATTTTACCATATATTTATTTATTCACGTCTTTCTCTCTTCCTTGACAGCAATATTCCTGTAATCTCTTTCTTTATTTTCTCTCTCAGTATCAGTATCTTCCTCTTCCATCCACGTCAGTTTCGCTCTCGCTCCCTTCCGGACCACCTCGCTTTGCGCTCAGTATGATAGCGCACCCGCCAGCTCGCGCAGTGTTTATAATAAACTTGGCAGTCCACGAGACAATAACGAGGCGGTGGTCTCTTTCCATGACAATGTCTCGAGAGTCTATTGGGGGGCATCGTGCGAGGCCAGCCCCCTCCCACTACTCATGCATTACTAATGCAAGCGAAGTTAACCCTCAGCTAGACGTCTTTATGCCAGAGAAACTCCTGATATGATTCTAATTTCTGGAAATAAATATTATATTTGATGTTGTTCGAGATGTAGCCTTTCTCTCAGTGTAAGAGTGATAACCTATGTATGGGGTTTATGTGTAACCTCAGAGTGTCTGACTGCAGAACCAAACTAAACGCGTTTCAATCTGTGGATCCCATGGAAAGCTTTCATAAACGCATTGACTCCCCATAAATTGGTTTAAGTTATTGTTCAGTGGCATCCAACGTGATATGAAACACACTGGCACGCGCCTCTTGGGCCATAAGCTTATAATGCCCAGGGTGGTTAGAGGACAATATGGGTGGTTAGAGGACAATATGGGTGGTTAGGACAATATGGGTGGTTAGAGGACAATATGGGTGGTTAGAGGACAATATGGGTGGTTAGAGGACAATATGGGTGGTTAGAGGACAATATGGGTGGTTAGAGGACAATATCAGGGTCTCCTCTTATTCCGGGGCTGAAATGGAAGTGAACACTAAATTGATTTAACGTTTATTAAATACATGAATGATCAGATGCATAGACAACCAGGAGTGTCCTCTCTGCTATCTCTAGGTCTGTAATTCAACCGTTTGAGAAATTAAGAGGCTTTTCGTTAGAGGAAAATAGCCTTTATTCGACTAAATCATATCATCCAAACCCTTGGAGCTTGTGTTGCTAAATTAACCGTTTTACGCGCGTGCTAAATTGATTATGGGAATAGGGGAAACTGGCCCTGTGTGTGTGTGTGTGTAATAATATAATACGGTTTTATATGTAAAAAAGCAGCTCTCGATAGCGGCAGAGGGCTCTTCTCGTATTATCACCGCTTACTTGACCAGTGGCCCCGTCTAATGCCATTACAACCCGCCGCCCTGCCATGTTTATATCCCATTGAATAACCCGCATCTTGCTGTGTCAGGACTTGGGTTTCACCGCGCACAACAAGTCTCCAGCAATATCAATAACGTCAGGAATATTCTAGAAAATGTATGTTGTCTGAACGCATGGCACACAGTGGTGGCAGCAAGGGCGCGCGGTCAGGCCCGGTTCCCATGTAGGGAACCGGGCCTGAGTCTTGCGTTAGAAGGGCGGGGAGCACGGGGAGAGAATAGTCGTTCATATTTGCCACTACAGTGTGTCTAACTCAGATACTTTTTCATGTATGGGCTTATATGTCACAAAAACGATGATAATAACAATGATATCAATTATAAATTATAAAACAAAAACAACGCAATCTTGAGGCCTTTAAAATAATATACAACAAAATGAATATATGTTTATATTATGATAATTACATGCAGTCACAATAGTTATCAGTTCATTTTCGTTTCTGACTCTGCTTTTTAAAGCTTAATCATGGACATTTTCATGGACTCTTGAACACATGTTTAGTTATTTGTATGCCTCATAATCTCACCGTTGTCCCCTGTAGGCCTATCGGCATACTTTAACTTTTTTGTTGTTGTCAATGGGGCTGTTTTTATTGCTGTGTTTTGAGTTCTTGCTCGGGTGGTTGCTGTAGACCTACAGGCTCATAACTTGCAGGTTAAAACACAAATACAAATAGGCCTATACATTTAAATCCATTTTATTCCTATAGGCTAATAGCTTACTCATTTTCCCTTCGACATATATCAATCACCTCTCCTCAATACCGGTGTTGTTACGTGAAGCTGCTTAATAGGCTACCACTCACTTTTCATTTAAAAAAGATTGTCAACTTCAATGCAATATAAGAAGTTGTTGTTTCAACACTGTATGCCACCGCGTGCTGTTTCAGCGTAATCAGTTTACTTCAGTTAATTAACTGTATATAAACGAATTATCTAAATAAAATGTCCGATACATATTTCCACATATGCCTAACTGGTGTGTGATTGCGATATTGTCTGAAGCATAATTTCTGATTGATCTGTAGGCTATGCGTCTGTCATCTTGCAGGTATTTTGGGTGCCCTATTGCACGAGCTCAACAAAGGGTTTTGCGGTCCTTGGGGCGCGCACGAGCCGGACACAGAATCCTCTCTGTCTCTGTCTCTGTCTCTGTCTCTGTCTCTGTGTCGTCTCTGTCTAGGTACTCTGTCTGAGATGTACTATGTCTATGTCTGCTGTATTGTCTCTGGTCTCTGTCTATGTATCGGTATATGTCTCTGTATCTCTGTCTATGGCTCGTCTGTAGTCTGTCGTATGTCTCGCTCTCTGTCTATCTCTCTCGTCCGTGCTGAGCTCAGTCCGTCAGCGGAGAGAGGAGAGAGGAGGAGGAGAGAGAGAGAGAGAGAGAGAGAGAGGCAGGAGAGAAGCGAGATAGCGCTAGATCGAGCGGAGCTAGATATAGAGGCGAGAGAGGTGAGAGATAGAGCGAGGAGAGCGAGAGAGCCGTAGCATAGAGAGAGAGAGATAGCGAGAGAGAGAGAGAATCGATAGCGAGAGAGAGCAGAGAGATCTAGCGCGAGAGATCTCTCTCTCTCTTCTATCATTATCTCTCTATCTTCTCTCTCTCTCTCTCTCTTCTCTCTCTCTCTCTCTCTATCTCCTCTCTCTCTCTCTCTCTCTCTCTCTCTCTCTCTCTCTCTCTCTCTCTCTCTTCTCTCGGCACCACTAGTCATGGAGCTGTCGCGGCGCTCTGACTCTAACCCGGTTAGAAGCGGGCCGCCTCAAGCCGGTGCGCCATTGTGCATATAAGTAATTCGGGATTGAATGGCTGGTACGCCGACGGGACCCCATCGCGCCACGGTCCCTCATCCATCACCGTGCAAATCATATGCACTCACTAGCTCTATCCCCAAAATGTAGCCTATGCTGTGCACTTCCAGGCCTAATGCTTTCACAGAGCAGAAGAAAGGAAATAGGCCTACATAAATACAAAACCTGTTGAAGCGAGACACACTTTAATCTGTGTATTTACAGCAACAGGTGCATGGCAACCGCCCGTCCACACTATAGCATTCTACCTGCAGTTTCATGGGCTGTTTCAGCACCGTGTCTGCCTCAATAAAATGCTCTAAATAAAGGTTAGAAAAAAGCAGGTGAATGTGACAGACCACTGGCTGGTCGGTTCTCAACGGATAGGTTTTATGCCGACTCCAGTCCCCATCAGGCCTCCTGATTGCGCTAGACTGGGATGGGGCTGGTGAAGTAAATACCACTCTCCAATTCATGGATGCAAGGATTTCAGTCCATGAGATCAAAATTATGGTTTTACATTTATTTGAAATTATAGGCTACACTCTTAGAAAAAAAGGTTGTTTGCTTCACATATGGCACCCCTAAAGGTTCTATATAGAACCGAAATGTGTTCCATATAGAACCCTATATGAAAGTCAAGGGTTCTATATGGAACCAATTTTGGTTCAGTGAAGAAGAACCCCTGGGGGTTCTGATCAAATAACTATAAAAGGGCTCTATATAGAACCTTTAGGAGTGGCATATATGAAGCAAGCATAGAACCATTGTTGGTTCTATCCAGAACCTTTTTTTCTAAGAGTATAGGCGACAATTTTACAGGCTCATTTACAGCCCATTCTTCATAACGTATAGATCTATCCTTCAAGAATCCTTCAAGAATCTATCCACCCCATAACATTACAGCTGTAAATAGCCTATACAGACACAAAACGGTATCCTGACAGATGTAGGCTTACACTTCAATTTAAACAGAGGTTGAGATTTTGTATATGTTCCTCTAAAACTCGTAGAATTGCATGTATAGGCTAGGCTGTATAGCCTACATGCACTGACTAAAAGTAGGCAACGAATTTTCCTTCAACAATTGTTTTGGAATATGGGATATGCATCAGTGGGTCATACTTATCATGCCAATATAGGCTTACATTCGATAACAACTACGCAATAAAAAATACTTATTATTTACTTTATAGTTAATTGGAGCAGGCTTCCGCTTCTTTTTCCCATTCTGTTGAAAATGGGTTTGGTAGCCTCAGAGTTTCAGCACCATGCCATGCACAGCAGCCATGCATGATCTATCTGCATAACATGATATTCAGTTGAAGTAAAATGCTCTGGATTATTTATAATTTTAATGGTGTCAATATCAGAGGGAAGCCAAATAGATATTTTCAAACAGTAAACAATATTATATTCTAATATATTCGATTATATTCTATTAGATAGGTATTCTATTATTTGTGAGTTGGTGACTCTAAATTACAAATGGACCAATCGCTATTTGGCCGTTAATTCGCCTGGTAGTTAATGAAAAAAAGGAAATGTCTAAGCCTATATCAAATGTCTATCGAAATAATTCATTAGGGCCTTTAATAATTATGGCTTCAACAACAGAACTGAGAATAACCATTTTGGTTAGGCTACCATGACTCCATGACAGTCCAGAGACTAGAATACATTACAGCTTTATCACCAGGTTCTAATCACCCTCTTTGGGACTGGTCAGGATTCTGCTCTCGTGATGGATCGGTTAGACTCTCTTTTGATTGACATTGAGTCTCCCCTCTCTCCATCTATCTCACTTCTCTCCATCTATCCATCACAGCCGCACCAGTCTCCCCAGGTCTCATCAATCTCCCCTCTACCCCCCACCCGCCCGCTTCATTAGGCCAATCTGCATTCAC